AAAAAAAAAAAAAAAATTCTTTGCATTACTGTGCTACGGGCACCCCTCTCCTCATCTTTTTAAACTTCCATAAAGTCTTCCATTCTTCCATATACACAGATACGTGCACACAGAGGCCGTGAGTGGTTTTTGTAAAAAAAAGAAAAGGTGAGTTCCACATTTGGGCTGATGCTGTTAGCATGTGCATAGCACATGCAGGACAGACAAGGAGCTTGGTGCCAGGAAAACAGCAGGCCCCAGAGTTCACAGACATTTCTGAGAGGGTACTAGACTTCAAACAAATTAGATAACAAACGCTTCAGCCCGTCTTTAGCTAAATTCTAAGGAATAGAGTGACCCCTGGGGTCATGTGAGTAAAGATTATGTTGAGAATAGGTGATAATATAAAATACTGTGAAAAAATTGGGCAAGATGTTTTATATAATCTTAGAATGATAAGGAGCTTAGCAAGAAATAAAATTTAGAAGCCATAAAAGACTACCACTAAATATGACTATAAAAATTAAGAACTTCTGGATGGGCGCGGTGGCTCATGTCTGTAATCCCAGCACTTTGGGAGGCTGAGGTGGGCGGATCACCTGAGGTCAGGAATTTGAGACCAGCCTGGCCAACATGGCAAAACCCTGTCTCTATTAAAAATACAAAAATTAGTTGGGTGTGGTGACATGTTCCTGTAGTTCCAGCTACTTGGGAGACTGAGGCAGGAGAATCGTCTGAAGCTATGAGGTGGAGGTTGCAGTGATTGGGCCACTGCACTCCAGCCTGGGCAACAGAGTGGGAATCCACCTCAAAAAATAATAATAATAAAATAAATATAGAAAAATAGGTTGAACTTCATTCATGATTAAATCATTAACACTGGACCAATATAAGGTACCATTTCCCCCTCATCAGAATGTTAACAAATAATTTGATAATCCATAATGTTTGCAAGGGTATGGGGAAAATTGCTCATATGCTGCTAGTGGGAATATAAATTGGCAAAATAGGCCAGGTGCAGTGGTTCATGCCTGTAATCCCAGCACTTTGGTAGGCCAAGGTGGGAGGATTTCCTGAGCCCAAGAGTTTGAGACCAGCCAGGGCGACCATAAGGAGATCCCATTTCTACCAAAAAATAAAAATCAATTAGCCAGTTGTGGTGGCATGTGCTTGTGGTCCCAGATCCTCGGGAGGCTGAGGTGGAAGAATCCCTTCAGCCCAGGAGGCTGATGCTGCACCACTGAGCTGTGATTGCACCACTGTACTCCAGCCAGGGGGATAGAATGAGACCCCATCTCCCAAAAAAAAAAAAAAAAAAAAAAAAAAAAAAAAAAAAAAAAAAAAAAAAAAAAAAAAAAAAAAAAAAAAAGGCATAATTTTTGTAAAAAAAAAAAAAAAAGGCATAATTTCTTTGGAGAGCAATTTAAGGTGCACATACTTAGATCTAGTAATTCCACTTATATAAATCTTTCCTACATGTATTCTTATATATGTGAGCCAAGAAACACAACACAACACACACACACACACACACACACACACACACACACACACACACAAAGATGTTCAAAGCAGCAGTGTTTACAATAGCAAAAAACTGGAAGTGCTTACATGACCACCAACAGACTATGTGAATGAATTATGGAACACAGCGCCTTGAGCCATGAAAACAGAACTTGCTAGATCTTTCTGTGGTCTCATATGGACCATTCTCTAAGACACATTGCAGTGAGTACAGACTGATTTACAGCATGGGATCAGGAGTAAGACTATGCATGGTAAAATTTTGGTTCTATTCTTACAACTTAACAATAAAAAGACAAACAACCAAATCAAAAAATGATAACTAATTTGAATAGAGATTTCCCCAGAGAAGACAGGCAAATGAACACCAGGCACATGAAAAGCTCCTCTATAGAATTAGTCACTGAGGAAAATGCAAGTCAAAACCACAGTATGATACTGCTTCACACCCACTAGGAGAGGTAGAATAAAAATAACAGAAAATAAGTGTTGGTGAGAATGTGGAGACACTGGAAACCTCATACATGGTAGGAATGTAAAATGGTACAGCACTGTGCAAAATAGTTTAGCGGCTCCTCAAAACGTTGGACATAGAGATACCATATGACTCAAAAATGCCACTCGTAGGTATCTATCCAAGAGAATAAAAACGTATTTCCAGGCTGGCCATGATGGCTCATGCCTGTAATCCCAGCATTCTGGGAGGCCGAGGCAGGCAGATTACCTGAGGTCGGGAGTTTGAGACCAGCCTGACCAACATGGTGAAACCCCGTCTCTATTAAAAATATAAAAATTAGTCCGGCATAGTGGAACATGCTGTAGTCCCGGCTACTTGGGAGGCTGAGACATGAGAATCACTTGAACCCAGGAGGCAGCTGTTGCAGTGAGCCGAGATTGCACCACTGCACTCCAACCTGGGCAACAGAGTGAGACTCTGTATCAAAAAAAACAAAAAACCAAAAAAGAAAACAAGAAATCATCTGGGTGTGATGGCTCACGGCTGTAATTCCAGCACTTTGGGAGGCTGAGGCGGGTGGATCACAAGATCAAGAGTTTGAGACCAGCCTGACAACATGATGAAACCCTCTATCTACCAAAAATACAAAAAAATTAGCTGGGCGTAGTGGCACACACCTCTAATCCCAGCTACTCAGGAGGCTGAGGCAGGAGAACTGCTGAACCTGGGAGGCAGAGGTTACAGTGAGATGAGATCAGGCCACTGCACTCCAGCCTGGGTGACAGAGCAAGACTCCGTCTCAAAAAAAACAAAACAAAAAACAATAAATCTGTATTTCTCATTTTACTTGGCCCAAATTCTATGGCCTGCCTCCTTTGCTAGCTGGAGGCTCCCAAACCTCTCACCCTGTTCAGGTCCTACTACACAAGACTGAAGTTTCTACTGATATAAACTACCATCCACCGAGGTTTGTGGGGAAGGGGAAGAGGAGAGAATGATACTAGTGCCTTTCCTGTGCTGGGTGCTGTGCTGGAAGAAAGGTTCGGTGGTTGAAAGCTCAGGCTCAGAGCCAGTTAGATCTGCATGCACATCTTGATTTTATCACTTTCTGCGATTTATTTATTTATTTATTTAAGAGGGAGTCTCACTCTGTTGCCCAGGCTAAAGTGCAGTGGCACCATCTCGGCTCACTGCAACCTCTGCCTCCCAGGTTCAGGCAATTCTCCTGCCTCAGCCTCCTGAGTAGCTGGGATTATAGGCATGCCACCACGCCCAACTAATTTTTGCATTTTTTAGCAGGCTGGTCTCAAACTCCTGACCTCAAGTGATCCACCTGCCTAGGCCTCTCAAAGTGCTGGGATTACAGGCATGAACCACTGTGTCCAGCCTTTATTTTTTTACTTTTGTTATCATTTGTTTGCTTTGTGTTATTTGACAAATTGGGTACCTGCTCTAAAAATCACTTTGCTCATTAATAAACTGGATAATAATAATAGCAACTATCTCAGCGGACTGTGATAGTAAAATAAACAGTTTGCATAAGGTTTGGCATAGTACCTGGCATATAGTAAATAAATATTCATTAAATGTTAATTATCATTTTATAATATAATATCTCTCACCTCCTTTGAAATTACCTTTACTATTAAATTTCCAATCATGTGCTCACCTTTTTAGGAAACATATTCTCACATTCTCTTGCTTCTGATATTCTCTTGGCTTCTTCTGTGGGTTTCTTCAAGACCAGGGTCTGAAAATGATGCTCTGTCAATGTGACATTAGCAAGAAAATGACCATTAGATTCAAGCAATTCTCATGTCTCAGCCTCCTGAGTAGCTGGAACTACAGGTGTGTGCCACCATGCCCAGTTAAATTTCGTAGTTTTAGTAGAGACGGGGTTTTACCATGTTGATCAAGCTTGTCTCAAACTCTTGGCCTCAAATGACCTGCCCACCTTGGCCTCCCAAAGTGGTGGGATTACAGGTGTGAGCCACTGTGCCCAGCTAAAGCAGTTTAGAGGGAAGCCTCTAGCCTTAAATAAATGCTCGTATTAGAAAAGAAGGTCTCATTTCATTCAGTTCAAATATTTTCTAATTTCCCTTGGCAATTCCTCTTTGACACATGGGTCTTCATTAATTGAATATACATGTAAACTCTGGGGGACTTGCAAAGTTTCCTGCAAATATTTACCTCTATTTAGAGCCCTAGCTAAACCTCTTGATCAGTGGTCCCTAGGCTTTTTCTTTCACAGTTTTATTGAGACATAATTCACATGCTAACTTCTCTGAGCCTCCATTTCTCCCTCAAGAAAAAGAATAAAGTTTCAATAATAATAATAAGTGAAATTACCCAGCTGGGCATGGTGGCTCATGCTTGTAATCCCAGCACTTTGGGAGGCCGAGGTGGGCGGATCACTTAGTCAGGAGTTTGAGATCAGCCTGGCCAACATGGTGAAACACCGTCTCTACTAAAATACAAAACATTAGTCCTGCACGGTTGCACACATCTATAGTCCCAGCTACTCAGAAGGCCGGGGCAGGGCAATCTCTTGAACCCGGGAGGCGGAGGTTGCAGTGAGCTGAGATCATGCCACTGTACGCCAGCTTGGGTGACAGAGTGAGACTCTGTCGCAATAAAAAAAATAAATTAAAAAAAAATTACCTAGAATGATACTTAAGAGTCCCTGTTCAATGTTTTCTTATATTCTGTATTTGTCTGTTTGCCATCCATTAATTACACAGCGCTAGACTAACAAAGTTGCTTATACACCTCTCCCACAATCCAGAGGCCACACTCTGAACCAACTCTATCTAACTCACACACCAAGCCAACTAGGGACAGCTCCTATGCCCTAGAACCCACTGGAATTATTCAATCCAGCCAATTCTAAACTTTTTAAATTTTTTTGGAGACAGGGCATCACTGTCACCCAGGCTGTTTGCATAAGGTTTGGCATAGTACCTGGCATATGGTAAATATTCATTAAATGCTCAATCATGACTCACTGCAGTCTCAACCTCTGGGACTCAAGAGATCCTCCCACCTCAGCCTCCTTAGTAGCTGGGAGTACAGATGTGCACCCACAGTACCCAGCTTTAAATTTTTTTTTTTTTTTTTTTTTTTTTTTGTAGAGACAGGGTCTCACTATGTTACTCAGGCCAGTCTTGAACTTCTGGGCTCAAGCAGTCCTCCTGCCTCGGCCTCCCAAAATGTTGGGATTACAGGTGTAAGCCACGGCACCCAGCTAATCCTAAACTAGTTACCATGCCTTGCTTTGTCTTTCCTAATGAAATTTCAAAAAAAAGAGTGTGGCCTATCCCTTCTCCATGCTCCTTTCTGCCTCCTGACCAGCACTGGTGCCTCCCCCCGGCCCTGAATGCATGGTGTGTTGAGTTTAATTCCAGGGGAATTGCAAGTAACATTGAAATTTTCTTTCAATGGCACTGACCTCTCTGTGCTATCACTAAGTCACCTTTATAGATTAAGACCTGGGTACAAATTACTTCCAACCTTACTAATTACTGGTTTCTGGTGGGGGAGAGGAGCAGTCCGCATGTCTTAAATTTATTTTCTTCTAGTGTCAACAACCTCTCTTCCCCTGTACAAGTCAGTACAGATATTAGAACTGAAAAGACAATTGCATCCTTTCATAAAATATTACTTGGTGCCAAAACCCAGGGTGGAACCCCAAGTATAGAGTAGGGTAGCAAATTCTGTTCAAACCAACTCAAGAAACCAGGGTTTCGGAGATAATAACTCAGTCTACATTTCCCTTTTTGGTAGTCAATATACCTTTTGCAGTGTTCTGTATTTGTGAACTTTTTTCTGAGTTCTGCTTGGCTGAAGAGGTTTTTTCATTGGGTGAATTTGCACTAAAAGACTTCAGGAGACAAAAGAGAGAGAGAGGGAGAAAGAGAGAGAGAACAAAATAAAGTTGGTAGTCAGGGAAATACAAAAAGGTAATAAATGTAATTTCTTTGCTATTTCTTATTGTTCTCAGCAAAGGAACATGTAGAGGATGATTTTTCAGGTCCTCTCAGGAGCATGGCAGAGAGTAGTGGCTGATGTGGAAAACACATGGGCTGGCCAACCAGGGTTCCAGTCCCCATTCTCTCACTCAAGAGCCAGTGATCTAAGGCAAGTCATCAAACCTCTTCACCACTTTGGTTTCCTTGTGGGATTAAGTCAGCTAATGTATGCAAATTACATGAGTGCTCCTGGTGAGTGCTCCAAAAACATTGCTATCATCCTTTATGCAATCACTATTTTCAGCAAATGTTTCACTGGGCAACTACTAATGTGTCTGCACTGGGCAAACAATGAAACCGGTCCCCTGACTTGAGGAGCTTCCCGTCGAGCAGAGGAGATAACAGTAAATAGTTACACTAAAGTGTGGCAGGCATCCCATTGTTGTTATATAGAGGCTACAGAAGTTAGGATTATGTTTGAATGTGACAGACACTCAAAATAACAGTGGCTCAAAATAGGTAGAAATTTCTCTCCCACCGGCCTGGACAACATAGTGAGACCTTGTCTCTACCAAAAAAAAAAATTAGCCAAGCATATAGTGGTGTGCGCCTGTAGTCCCAGCTATTTGGGAGGCTGAGGTGGGAGGATTGCTTGAGCCTGGGAGGTTGAGGCTACAGTGAGCCATGACTGCCCCACTGCATTCCAGCCTGGGTGACAGAGCAAGAGCCTGTCTTAAAATAAATAAATAAAAACAAAGAAATTTCTCTCTCACATAAAAGTCTGAAGGCAGGCAAGCCTGGGCTCACACGGTGTTTCTAAGCACTGGTGGTGCTAAATCCTCAGGGATTCTGATTTTTTTTTTTTTTTTTTGAGATGGAATCTTGTTCTGTTGCTGAGGCTGGAGTACAATGGTGCAATATCGGCTCACTCCAAACTTTGCCTCCCGGGGTTCAATCAATTCTCCTGCCTCAGCCTCCAGAGCTCGGATTACAGGTGCCCACCACCCTGCCCACCTAATTTTTGTTCTTTTAGTAGAGATGGGGTTTCACCATGTTGGCCAGGTTGGTCTCAAACTCCTGACCTCAAGTGATCCTCCTTCCTCAGCCTCCCAAAGTGCTGGGCTTATAGGAATGAGCCATGGCACCTGGGTAAATTCTGACTTCTTCCAGAGCACGGTTTCAGGTTTCATAAGACCCTCGTTCTATTTTTTTTTGAGACAGAGTTTTGCTCTTGCCACCTAGGCAGAAGTGGAATGGTGTGATCTTGGCTCACTACAACCTTTACCTCCTGGGTTCAAGCAATTCTCTTGCCTCAGCCTCCCAAGTAGCTGGGATTTTAGGTGTGTGTCACTATACCTGACTAATTTTGTATTTTGAGGTCGGACAGGGTTTCACCATGTTGGCCAGGCTGATCTCGAACTCCTGACCTCTGGTGAGCTGCCTGATTCAGCCTCTCAAAGTGCTGGGATTACAGGTGTGAGCTATCGCACCCGGCCATGTTTTTAGGGTCCAGGAAGGCATCTGGAGCTCCTGCTATCACATTCACATTCCAGGCAGCAGGAGGGAGGAAAGGACAAAGAGATAAAGCTGTTTTTTAAAGAAAGTTTCCAGAAACTGCCACATGACACATCCACTTATATTTTATTAACTGGATCTTAGTCACATGGCCACACACAGAGGTAGGGGAGGCTAGAAAATATACTCTTTATTTTGGCCAGGTACATGCCCAGCAAAAAATCAGAAGTGTTTTTTTTCATAGGTGAAGGGGACAAGGGATATTGGGAAACAACTCATGGTTGGCCACATGCAGTGTGAGGAGAGTATCACGGGAAGCTAGAGCTGGATTCTGTCTGGGCGAGAGCTGGAGGGCTTCCAAGGAGAGAAGACACTTGCATTCTGTCTTTAAGGATGAGTAGGAGTTTGGCAATGTTAAACAGATGGCCCACCAAGTGGCAGACAAGCAGTCCACCAGCCTCAACAACAACCGTTTGCTTTTATAGAAATGTGATATTTGAATGGGCAGGAGAAAGCCAAAAGGACTTCCCAGACATCAAGCAGCTGGCTGTCCAACAGTTACTGGTCTTTATAGTGTTGAAGTGGTTGCAGGAAAACAATCCCAGGGCTCAATGAAGCATCAATGCTCTTTTTATTTCTTTTTTTTGAGATGGAGTCTCACTCTTGTTGCCCCGGCTGGAGTGCCATGGCGCGATCTCAGCTCACTGCTGCCTCTGCCTCCTGGGTTCAAGCGATTCTCCTGCCTCAGCCTGACCAACATGGAGAAACCCTGTCTTAATACATTTCTTTCTGCTTAAAATAGCTTGAGTGGATTCTATTGTTTGCAACTGAGAACTCTGATGATTCCTCCTTACAGTGGCCTTTCTTCACTGCCTTTTTTTTTCTTTTTGGCTCTACAAAAACCAGAATATATATGTATATATATATTCCCTCCCTGTACCCTGCAAGGACCTATGTCCAAGGTCTCAGCCCAGGGATGTCCTGACAATGTAGTTTCAGCCATCTCATCATCTTCCCAGAGACAACGCCCAGGATCCTAATAATCTATGTTTGCACCTGACATATGTAACGGGGAAAGGTATACAACTGGGTTTCACAGATGATGGGGGTCCTGAAATGTATGCCTTCCTGGCTCAAAGACATCACTTTTCCTAATCTCCAGCTGTGTTTCTCTAGATATCACCCTTGTATAATATAAGAGCTCATGTTTACTGAGTTCTTACTCTATGCTATGCTGTTTGCTGAATGCTTGCATATAAGATCATATTTAATGCCCACACTGTGACTGATTCTCTAGGTACCCATTTTACCAATAAGAAAAACTGAGGTTCAGGGAGAGGAAATCACTCATCTGAGAGCTAGGATTCTTTTTTTTTTTTTTTTTTTTTTTGAGACAGGGTCTCACTCTGCCGCCCAGGCTGGAGTGCAGTGGCGTAATCTCAGCTCACTGCAACCTCTGCCTCCCAGGTTCAAGCGATTCTCATGCCTCAGTCCCCCAACTAGCTAGGACCACAGGTACATGCCACAACACCCACCTAATTTTTGTGCTTTTGGTATAGACAGGGTTTCACCATCTTGGCCAGGCTAAGAGCTAGGATTCTAATTCATGCCTAATTTGATAGTCCAGTCTCTCAACTACTTCTTTCTCCAGGTTTAGGACCTGGGAACTAGGAAAGGGGGACAGAGTTGAGGCACTGTACAAAGAGGCAGGGGAGAATATCCTGCCCTCTGCCCTTTTCATCTCCCTGGTTTTCTCTCTCCCTATCATTTTCTCCCTCAGATTCCATTTCCTAAAACTGTTCTATCTTTAAAAATATTTATTAAATGAACAAATGACTCAGTCTCTAATAGGTCGGTGTCCTAATTGATAGCTGGGTCTCGTCGCAGAAGCCAGCTCTGTGGTTTGGTACTTTTTCATTCCCACTGTGCAAATCCCTAACACTTAAGAGAAGGGCAGACAGCAGGTCAGAGGCCTGAAGTAATTGCAGCTCATTCCCCTGAATTGTGGACTCTCAGACAGACGATTGCCATGAAAAGCATATTTTGAACACAGTCAGCGCTTTCATTGAGCAGAAGGGAAAATGTGTCTGTTCTTGACAAGAGAGGCTCTATCCCCATCATAAAACTCAATTACTCCCTCTATCCTGGTTTGCCCATTAAAACTTCAGCTGTGCTCAAGGTTTCAGTTTTTGATTATTTCTATTTTGGGGGCAGTAAATGGAATCTCTTAACTAGGTTCCTGAAATAACTGTCAGAAGAGTTTATGTATTTCAGTACAAAGAACACACATTTGTTTCAAGCCGTTGTGACAGGCAGTACCCAAACACTGAATAATATTTTGGTATTGGTCTCTGAGTGATGGCTGTTCTTCTGCAGCACCTGTTTCATCTGCGCTTTTTGGGAACTGATTTACAGAGCATCATTATATGCTAAGCACAGGGCCAAGAATTTACATAGATGACCTCATTCACCAAGTCCAGAAATATTGTTAAGGGTCTTCTTTGTGTTAGGTCTGTTCTAGGAGGTAAAAAAGACGGAACAAGGCCGGGCGCGGTGGCTCACGCCTATAATCCCAGCACTTTGGGAGGCCGAGGCGGGTG